ATACAGCTGCAAGCATATGTTTGGTTTCCATGGTAAATACACGCTCTCTTTAGTAGCGCGCCCAACTCAAATCTGACAGAGCGGTGAGGCGACTATTCACAGAAAACAGAACAAGAATCGACAACTACTCTACTCTCTGCTCACTCCTTTCCTGTAAAATACAGGTCCAGCCCACACATACTGTATGCTCCATCAAGGACGGTGCTACAGGGCACAAGGCAGTGCACTTACACCTACAATAAACATGTTAATGTTAATCTAACAGCTACGGCGATTCACTAGTGTTTCTATCACTGATTGTAGTAAAGTGTTTTTATTGCATGTAGAGCACTTTGGCTCAACCAAAAATAGTTTTTAAATGTGCTATATAAATAAAACATGATTTGATTTGATTTAAGTACTAGTTTACCACTGTTAAAAATATTATGTTAGTAATAGCCATGCATCTAAATTCTGTGTATAATAATAAGAATATACTTCAAGTATTGAAAGTACTAAATGAAGAAAATGTCTCCCGTGGCTCTTATACAAATACGTATTATATCTCTAGATTAATATCCAGAATATACATATACCAGAACATATCGAGAAACCAGGATTTTTTCTCCTGTAGTTTGTAGAGGTTATCGTTAACTCTTATTATAAACCAATCTGTTGGGTATTTTGTCCATTATATGATTGAAGAAAATAATCAGTTTGTGAAAATTGTGAGATATGTACTCAGAACCCAAAGTGACACCTTCACAATGTTTGTTTTATTAATTAATCAATGAAGGGCAAAAGCAGCAAATCTACTAAAGAAACATTACCTAAATAATCAAAAAAGTTGACAGGTATATTTCTGTCAATCATCTTATTGATTAATCTCCCAAGTCTTTCAGCAGTACCAACTGTTGGGTAGTTTAATTAACAACAAAACCTAATATTTTATTAATTATTATGTTTTTTCTGTAAAAATCTAAATTGGTAAGTAAAGCTTTAATTAAGTAAAGGTATAACGTGGCATGAGAAGAAAATGCCCAAGGGAAGTACAAGTACTTCAAACTCGTATAGAACAAGCTACTCCAGCAAATGTACATTAGGTACTGTCCAGCACTGATGCTGACGTGGTTAATTTAGGAGATGCCTGCCATCCCTTATCTACATGGATTCACTGCTGAAGTTTTTCATTTCCCTCCCAGAATGATGCAGAGAAGGTGGTTGTGGTCATCATGGACAAAGAGCATCATCCAGTAGAGAGATTTGTGTTTGAGATGTCCCAACCTCCACTGCTGTCCATCAGGCAATTCCCTTTCTTCTTCTTCTTCTTCTTTAAAAAAAAAAAAAAATCAGTAGTCAGTATAAATAACACACTAACTGCCTTTGGTTTTGTTTTTACAGCTCAGACACTTTACTGTCACATGTGGAGCAGCTGCTGAGGGCATTCATCCTGAAGATCAGTGTGTGTGATGCTGTCTTAAACAATAACCCACCAGGTAACGTCACTAATGATCACATAAAGAGAAGCACTTCTATGAAGATTTAAAAAAGTGATTTGCTCTGATTCCCTGACAAAACTCTGCCAAGCTTAAAGTGTTATCTGCCAATCTTGGAAAAGGAGGCAGGATTTGGGTGAACCTGGGGAGAATGATGAGCCTGTAAAGCATAGTTCAGGGTATCAAATTCCCTGATCTAACTCTTAAAAAGTAGTACCCCTTCTGAAACTGATATTTATTGGACAAGCATGCATTAAAGTAACAAGTCTAAGGACTAGAACGTCAGATGGGAACAGAGCTTTTAATGTCAGTGTGTTGAGATCATATCATACTTTAATTGATGTTCCAGTTGGAGTAGATACAATTCATACATTTATTTTTGACTTGTTGTTTGTCACAGGGTGTTCATTTTCAGTGCTGGTACACACCAGAGATGCTGCTACTCGCAACATGGAAAAGGTTCAAGTCATTAAGGTGAGGTTTTAAAAAAATGCAAACATACACATTAATAGAATACTTCATAGCCCCTAAACTGCCATGTGTATATCATTTACTTATCGAGTGTTACCTTGAATTATTAAAAAAAACGTTTCTCTTGCATGCCTCCACAGTCAAGTAAAACCTTGATGAACTGCCTTTAGAACAAAACATCCATTTTCACATCCATACCGCCTATGCAGTATAATCCAAGTACCATTAATGGGAAAAAAGCATTTTGAATGAAATAAAAAATACAATATTTGACTGTGCCTCCATACAATTTAATTCATCATGAATTAAAAAAAAGTATTCCTTTTAAATAATGGTTTGGGATTGTGAATATAATAGTAGAGTCTGAATCTGTTTTACTTTTTGCTCGTATTATAATCACCTCTTATAATATGGTAACAATGAACAATAATAATAAATAATCTGTCACATTTGTGCATCTCCCTCCTCAGGACTTTCCATGGATAGTTGCTGATGAGCAGGAGGTCCACATGCAGGAGCCGAGACTCATCCCGCTGAAGACCATGACATCCGACATAGTAAAAGTGAGCATCTCTCTCAATCAGTGTATCTGCTATAAATAAAGTTTTGTTGAAATGTATCCTCTTGAAATTGCTCTTATTGTTTATTGATTGTTTCTATCTTTTGCAGATGCAGCTCTATGTGGAAGAGAGAGCTCAGAAAACGTAGCCTGGGATGATGTTAAACCATGATAAGAGTATAAAACACAGTCTATCACAGCTGGAAACTGTCTAAAAGAAGACTTCTATATATAAAAGCGCTTTGAGGAGTCCCAAAGACTACAGCTGCCTATATAAATGACTCCATTTGCTATTTAATAACAATCGTAAAGAAACATAGATCATACACACACTGACATTTTATTCAGAATCGTTACTGTTTCAGAGACCGATTGGATCCCATGCCACACAGATATGCATGAATATGGTTGTTATGAATTGTGTTTAATGCTTTCCATGCACATCTTTAATGTGACATTATGATCAAAGAAGAGCTGTCACACCATGACGATAAATCCCAGGGAAGATGGAAAACATCATTACAACAAATATCACCAGCATCTTCTACTGACTCTTCTATCAGTTCAACCCTCAGCTGTGTTCATCTTCACTGTTTTGTCGGGGAATTGTTTTTCCCAAAGCTCCCCCAGAGATTGTCTTTTCACCACAGGGAGTTTGTTAGACCTTTATATCCCACTATAATGTCGCACTGAGTCATAGCAGGTCTGTGCATGGTATCTACAGTATTACAGACGGGGAGGGATGCAGTGTGAGAGTCTTTGGTGGGTTCCTACGCAGTAACCGGGACCTTGGTGTGTTTACCCGTGCAACCAGTGGTTATGTTTACCCATTCTTATGTGATTCATTCAAAGTTGTTGTAAATGTTGTGTTAAAGGAACAGTTTTAACTGCTGAAAAATGTGTGAATTAATATGTATACAAATATGACATGGTAATAAAATATGTTTTTAAAGCACCACCTCGAGTAAGATCGTTTTAGGATGATTCTTGGTAATATGCTAAAACTGTTTTCCTATATGGTATAACACTCGATGATAATGAGACACTGGAGACAATGACAGCAGGATGTTGAATGCCAACACATTGCTTTCCATTGCTGATTGATTATTACCTTTTTGAGTGAATTTAGACATAACTTGTGCATTTATGACGGTAATCTGATACTTTAAATGTTTTATTAATAATTAATACTTTACAAACTGTGGGATAGAAACCTTGGGATTTGAGCCTTTGCAGACCATTTACATACACAAAAACCTATAGAACAGATATCATATTTGAGCTCTGCATCTTTAAAGACAGGCATCATTTATTTTTCGGTTGATTTCATTTAAATCCCTTGTGTTGGAAGTTTGCCTTTTTTTTCATTCGGAATGACCAGCCTTGTGGTATTTCAGTCTCTATAAAAAAAAAACTGAAATAAACCTCCAGGCAAAATCATGTTTTAAAAGAAGATCTATTAGATAAAGAAGTCATCATTGGAGAAATGCTTACAATGCAACTCACAGATAACTTGAAAACACCCCCTGCCATCAATGTAGAGTGTAAAGTATGGCGCAGTAAGCTCCATTATCTTGTTATGACTCTGAAGGCCTCTGCTCCAGCGATACTCCTGTGACCTTTGGTACACAGGACAGCGCTGAGGCAACAGAAATAAACAGAAGAGCTGAGCTGTTCCTCCACATGTTTGTAGCCTGATCTGGAATACCAAAAACACGTCTGCGATTCAACTCACTTACATTTTCCTCCATGGATTATTTTGCTGAAACCTACTACGTTTAAAAGTCAAAGGTAGTACGATGTTCTCCTTTATTAGATCGCTCATTCCCACTTCCTACTTCCTGCCGGCTTGGTTGTCCCTTGATATAAATCCACTGAATAGTTTGCTTCAAGGTGAGTTTTATGTTCTCTGACGTCCACATTGCTAGAGTTTTTTTAAACTGTGTATGTGTGTGTCATCAGTTAAAATGTTAATGTTACATGATCTGCAGGACTGGTAGGTGCATGTGGGATCTCTCTGCTATGCTCCCTCATAAGACTGCACTTATTTCTAGAAAAAGAGAGGTAAAGATTCTTAATATATCTCTTTTTGCTCATTTACATCACCCAACCATGCTTGTAAGATTTGCACCATTATCAATAATATTGTATTTAGTGCTGGTACAGATCTTGTATAGTTCAGTTTTATTTATTTCTTGATTTGATTTCCAACCTCCTATAGTAGCAGTGATGACAATGAAAAAGAAACTATCAAGAGGACACAGAGCCATCAAAGCAAAACTAAACCTGGACTTTTTGGGATGCTCCACTTCCTGTTTGTGACTGGGATGCTGTCTGTGGTGGGGTCTCGTGTTGCCTCCCTGGTGGTACTGGAGTTTTGTCTTCGAGCTGTGTCTGGACTGGTTACAGCGGGAAAGGTACGAAATTAATTATGTTATTTAAAAACAAAAGACTTGTGATTTTCCAGTCGCTTCTATTGCTCAATAATGCTGAGTTAAGAGGAGATACAAGTGAATAAGGTACAAAGGATAAACTAATACATGTATCACCATTACACCTCTCTAGCTTTTAACTTACATTAGGACATGTTGAAAGTGTATGTTAAAATAGGCAATTGAGGCATTTTCTTATTCAAATTGTACTTCATATATATTCAAAGCAGGAATCTGGCCGTATCTGGCTGAAAATACGACATATTAGAGTCAAAGGTTTTTACCAGAAGGAATTTTGTAAATATCTTAACATACTCAACACAGCCATAAAACAAAATACATTTTGCCACATGAATTCTTTAGGGAAACAATGTACTGAATCAGGCTATATGCTTACGTCTTTGGATCATAATTAGGATTGCATCTTGAAAGTTTGCTATGTAAATACTGTAGAAGTGGATATTTCTGTCTCATTTTGCGAAAGCATCCTAAAAAAGAGATTTCTTGTAAAATTCCATACATTTTCCAGGACATAAAGGTGAATATTTAAAACAAATTACCATTCATATTTAGTTAACTTGATTTGTGGTCGTAATAAGTTTACTGAAATATTAAGTTAAATATAAGGCATTATCAAATACTAACTGTTGGCCAATTAATGAGGAATCTATAGACCCAAATTGACAACTCTGGTCCAACAAACAAAAGTTTTTTTTCCACTGGTGTAAAAGAAGATAGTTATGGAAGCCAAAATAACCCAAACCTTAAAATTGACGAGTGCACCTTTACTATCCCTCCTGGAATTTATGCCATCATGATGACTCTATCATCACAACCAGCCATCATCTCATTTGGAGCATACATTACTTCTGTTCATATGCTTCTTCATTCCCCAGGAGTCCAGTAAATTCGTGCAGCAGCTGTTAATGCAGAGCCAGTTCTCTCTCGGCTGTGCCCTGACATGCAGTCTGCACTTTCTCCACGACGGGGCGCCGCAGCGCTGGCTGTGCCTGCTGCTGGCGGCTGCTCTCAGCTGGTTATTGTCCCGGCAGGCCACCCGGCTGCTGCAGCACGTGACGGCTATGTATAAACTGCACAGCTCACAGCGCTACTGCGGCATCTGCATCGGCCTGCTCACATCCGGCCGCTGTGTGCTGCCCATGCTGTGCAGGGCCATGATCATCACCTTCTCTGTGGCTGTGGTGGCCGCAATATTCATTATCAATCAACACTTCCTGTCTGCAACTGAGGCCCTCAGGTTCTGGACCCCCCTCACTATCTGCTACACACTGCTGGTTGTGTACATGCAGGGTGAGGAACATGCCAAATGGGAAACATGTCAGAGATTATTTTTGAAACACTCAGTGGAGGAAATTAACTAAGGACATTTACTGTAGCATTAGCCTCCTGTAGCCTACTTGAGTATTTCCAATTTCAGCTGCGTTCTACAGTTCTACACAACATCTCCATCATCTATCAATATTGGAATTTTAACTCCACTTATTTGACACTTGTAGTTACTACTTTTTACATAAATATGATGTCTTGATATAGGCTTTCAGGCTTTCACTCAGTTGTACACAAAGTAAACAATTTACTTAATGAGTTACAACATTAAAACAGCTCTTATATGTATTTGTTGATAATGTTCTATATTAATACAACACTTCTGAAAGAGCCATTCTTCAGAATAAGTACTTTTACTTTAGAGTACATTTCGCTGATAATATTTGTCTACTTTTACTTTAATAAAATTTAGAACTCTATATGAATACTTGAAATGAAGTATTTCTCGATTGGGGTATTAGTAAGTTAAATTAATTAAATTAAATTATCAACTCTTTCCACCACTGTAAACACACATAAGACACTGATGAATCTGGCCATTAATGAAAAAATGCATCTTCACATCCTGCTGCTGTAGATCTACTTTTCATTCTCATTTTTACTTCCCCCTAATTCTGTTTTGGTTCTGCAGAGGAGCAGCACCGGCGGCCCAGCAGCCAGGCTGTCCTGAACACGGTAGTGGTGCGTCTCGGGGGTTTGATGGTCCTGATGCTGACTGTTGGACGTTGGGCTGATGTGCTCCACATCATAATGTGTTTCCTGGGTGAGGCCGGCTGTCTAATCCCCACCATGGATCTGCTGGATGCCACATCCTCGCAGGTCAGTGAGTCTCCCTGGAAGCAGTGCACAGGGCTGAAAGCACTTTTTGTCCATCGGGACCCAGAAAACTGGGGCAGAATAGCAATGTGTTCATTAGACTGGGTCCCAAGATGAGGCTGAACTTCTCCAACTTGTATCCCAGGTGGAGAAGGTAAGATCCCCAAGACAGAATGAGGTCAAAGTGTTCTCAAACTCTGAATACTGAGCTTACTTTTCCTTTCACTGAGCTAGCCTGACAAAACAGTTAAATATTTCAAAAAAGAAAGCAAACACAGTTGATACAGTGATTATTAAAAAAAAAAATAATATGGTTGGAGCCAACCCCATGAAATGCTCAATATAATGTGTTTGGGACTAATATAATGTGTGATCTTTTTATGAGTAATAATTCATCTGTCATATTTACAGGAGGAAGAGGATTACGCAGAATACGTCAAAAGAGAGCATCGCCGAAGACCAAAGGCCCAAGAGAAAGAACATCAGAGATAGGGATTTCATTTTTTGTTGACTTCTTTTAAATGAAGTACTATTATTGCTGCATCCTCAATTCATTATTTTGTAATTAGATGTTATATTTTCATTAAAAAGTCCAAGAAACATATTAGTTCAATTTGTTAAAAAAAAGCCCTTATATGTAAAATATTAATAATACCAACAGTATAATCTTACGAACATAACTTTCTTATCATGCATATCTTCCACCTATGTTGTCTGCTGTTCTCTTATAAATGTGATTTCCTTTATGACTCATAGATCATCAAATTTGCCTCAGGTGACAAACCTGCAGTTATGGATGATTTCATAGGAGTCTTTGTGACGTCTTTGATTAATTAATGCTGCAATCTTGGAGAGATGCTGCTCTAGATACTCCTGGGGAGAGTCATTGTTCCAAATCTTTCTGTAGCCTGGGGCCGTTGTAAACCTTTCCACAGCCTACTGATAAATATATGGCCAAATAAGCCAGTTTTACTTTATGTTATATTAAAATAATCAGCTAAGAAAACTAGCTGATCATTGTCATTGTCTCACTAATTGGTATGATTTAAGAATGCAGGTTTAAGAATGCATTTTATTTTGCCTTTAATTAGTTAGAAACGGAATAAGAGTTTTTCTCTTTACCTTTATAATGGACACAAATAATAATAATAATAATAATAATAATATAATAATATAACTTTATTTGTATCGCACCTTTCATACAGGGGATTGCAGTTCAAAGTGCATTACATCAGTAAGAAATAAGACATCAAATCAGTGTAAAACAAGCAGCAAGAGCAAAGCATAAAGTGGGATAAAATAATTAAACATAAAAACATGGGGAATAAAACATAGAGAAATAGTGCAATGTCAATCACAGC